GTACTCCTCCACCTTGTCTGTACCTCCCTCCTCTACCAGTACTCCTCCACCTTGTACTGTACCTCCCATCCTCTCAGTACTCCTCCCACCTTGTACTGTACCTCCCTCCTCTACCAGTACTCCTCCACCTTGTACTGTACCTCCCTCCTCTACCAGTACTCCTCCACCTTGTACTGTACCTCCCTCCTCTACCAGTACTCCTCCACCTTGTACTGTACCTCCCTCCTCTACCAGTACTCCTCCACCTTGTACTGTACCTCCCTCCTCTACCAGTACTCCTCCACCTTGCTGCACCTCCCCTCTACCAGTACTCCTCCACCTTGTACTGTACCTCCCTCCCTCTACCAGTACTCCTCCACCTTGTACTGTACCTCCCTCCTCTAGTACTCCTCCCACCTTGTACTGTACACCCTCCTCTACCAGTACTCCTCCACCTTGTACTGTACCTCCTCCCTCTACCAGTACTCCTCCACCTTGTACTGTACCTCCCTCCTCTACCAGTACTCCTCCACTTGCCTTATTGCTGTACCTCCCTCCTCTACCAGTACTCCTCCTGTCCTCCTCCTCGCATCTCTCCACCGTACTGTGCCCCTCTCTACCAGTACTCCTCCACCTTGTGCTGTCCTCCTCCTCTCAGTACTCCTCCACCTTGTACTGTACCCCCCCCTCCTACCAGTACTCCTCCACCTTGTACTGTACCTCCCTCCTCTACCAGTACTCCTCCACCTTGTACTGTACCCCCTCCTCACCAGTACTCCTCCACCTTGTACTGTACCTCCCTCCTCTACCAGTACTCCTCCACCTTGTACTGTACCTTTCCTTTACTTTGTCTTTCTCTGTTTGTGTCTCTCCTCCCTGTCGCTCTAACGATCCATCTGTTCCACCACGTCAGCTGTGATGGGAGGGTAGAGGTGTTACTGTTCCACCACGTCAGCTATGATGGGAGGGTGGAGGTGTTACTGTTCCACGTCAGCTGTGATGGGAGGGTAGAGGTGTTACTGTTCCACCACGTCTGCTGTGATGGGAGGGGGGGGCTGTTACTGTTCCACCACGTCAGCTGTGATGGGAGGATGAGATGTTACTGTTCCACCAGTCAGCTGTGATGGGAGGGTGGTGGTGTTACTGTTCCACCACGTCAGCTGTGATGGGGTGGTGGTGTTACTGTTCCACCACGTCAGCTGTGATGGGAGAGTGGTGGTGTTACTGTTCCACCGTCAGCTGTGATGGGAGGATAGAGATGTTACTGTTCCACCACGTCAGCTGTGATGGGAGGGTGGTGGTGTTACTGTTCCACCACGTCAGCTGTGATGGGAGGGTGGTGGTGTTACTGTTCCACCACGTCTGCTGTGATGGGAGGGTGGAGGTGTTATGTTCCACCACGTCAGCTGTGATGGGAGGGTGGTGGTGTTACTGTTCCACCACGTCAGCTGTGATGGGAGGTGGTGGTGTTACTGTTCACCACGTCAGCTGTGATGGGAGGGTGGTGGTGTTACTGTTCCACCACGTCAGCTGTGATGGGAGGGTGGTGGTGTTACTGTTCCACCACGTCTGCTGTGATGGGAGGGTGGAGGTGTTATGTTCCACCACGTCAGCTGTGATGGGAGGTGGTGGTGTTACTGTTCCACCACGTCAGCTGTGATGGGAGGGTGGTGGTGTTACTGTTCCACCACGTCAGCTGTGATGGGAGGGTGGAGGTGTTATTGTTCACCACGTCAGCTGTGATGGAGGGTGGTGGTGTTACTGTTCCACCACGTCAGCTGTGATGGGAGGGTGGTGGTGTTACTGTTCCACCGTCAGCTGTGATGGGAGGGTGGTGGTACTGTTCCACCACGTCAGCTGTGATGGGAGGTGGGTGTTACTGTTCCACCACGTCAGCTGTGATGGGAGGGTGGTGGTGTTACTGTTCCACCACGTCAGCTGTGATGGGAGGGTGGTGGTGTTACTGTTCCACCACGTCGCTGTGATGGGAGGGTGGTGGTGTTACTGTTCCACCACGTCAGCTGTGATGGGAGGGTGGAGGTGTTACTGTTCCACCACGTCAGCTGTGATGGGAGGGTGGTGGTGTTACTGTTCCACCACGTCAGCTGTGATGGGAGGGTGGTGGTGTTACTGTTCCACCACGTCAGCTGTGATGGGAGGGTGGAGGTGTTACTGTTCCACCACGTCTGCTGTGATGGGAGGGTGGTGGTGTTACTGTTCCACCACGTCTGCTGTGATGGGAGGGTGGTGGTGTTACTGTTCCACCACGTCTGCTGTGATGGGAGGGTGGAGGTGTTACTGTTCCACCACGTCTGCTGTGATGGGAGGGTGGTGGTGTTACTGTTCCACCACGTCTGCTGTGATGGGAGGTTGGTGGTGTTACTGTTCCACCACGTCTGCTGTGATGGGGGTGGTGGTGTTACTGTTCCACCACGTCTGCTGTGATGGGGAGGTGGTGGTGTTACTGTTCCACCACCTGCTGTGATGGGAGGGTGGTGGTGTTACTGTTCCACCACGTCTGCTGTGATGGGAGGGTGGTGGTGTTACTGTTCCACCACGTCTGCTGTGATGGGAGGGTGGAGGTGTTACTGTTCCACCACGTCTGCTGTGATGGGAGGGTGGTGGTGTTACTGTTCCACCACGTCTGCTGTGATGGGAGGGTGGTGGTGTTACTGTTCCACCACGTCTGCTGTGATGGGAGGGTGGTGGTGTTACTGTTACCACGTTAGCTGTGATGGGAGGGTGGAGGTGTTACTGTTCCACCACGTTAGCTGTGATGGGAGGGTGGAGGTGTTACTGTTCCACCACGTTAGCTGTGATGGGAGGGTGGAGGTGTTACTGTTCCACCACGTCAGCTGTGATGGGAGGGTGGAGGTGTTACTGTTCCACCACGTCAGCTGTGATGGGAGGTGGGTGGTGTTACTGTTCCACCACGTCAGCTGTGATGGGAGGGTGGTGGTGTTACTGTTCCACCACGTCAGCTGTGATGGGAGGGTGGTGGTGTTACTGTTCCACCACGTCAGCTGTGATGGGAGGTGGTGGTGTTACTGTTCCACATCAGCTGTGATGGGAGGGTGGTGGTGTTACTGTTCCACCGTCAGCTGTGATGGGAGGGTGGTGGTGTTACTGTTCCACCACGTCAGCTGTGATGGGAGGTGGTGGTGTTACTGTTCCACCACGTCAGCTGTGATGGGAGGGTGGTGGTTACTGTTCCACCACGTCAGCTGTGATGGGAGGGTGGTGGTGTTACTGTTCCACCACGTCAGCTGTGATGGGAGGGTGGTGGTGTTACTGTTCCACCACGTCAGCTGTGATGGGAGGGTGGTGGTGGTGGTGGTTAATTATCTACTTAAATATATATCTATGTACATCTCTGTCTGTCTGTCTGTCTGTCTGAACATTGATCTATTTATATATAATCAGTTTCGTTAATTTTCTTGTTAAATGTCTGTCATTGTATTAACTGTTTTCCTTCCCGCAGGTGAGTGAGGCTGTGGCCGACCAGTGTTACCAGACCACCACCATGTTCAAGTAGGTGACATTGGTAACACTTCATGTAGTGAGGTGACATTGGTAACACTTCATGTAGTGAGGTGACTAGTTTTTCAACCTAACCTAACCTAACCTAACCTAACCTTACTAGTGGGTTTTCCTTAGGCAGATGACTCGGTCCACCCTAACTTAACTGAAGTCATTTTCTCAGTTGCCATAACAGATGTAAAAAAACAAATATTTTATTTGTTTGTTTATTTACGTGATACAAGAGTGAAGCGTTAGGCCGCCCTGTCTGCTGCCTCTCAGTGTCCAGGTGATCAACACGCTCAGGGGCGAGGTGTTAGGCCGCCCTGCCTGCTGCCTCTCAGGGGCGAGGTGTGGTGTTAGGCCCCCCTGCCTGCTGCCTCTCAGGGGCGAGGTGTGAGGTGTTAGGCCGCCCTGCCTGCCAGGTGATCAACACGCTCAAGGGGCGAGGTGTTAGGCCGCCCTGCCTGCCAGGTGATCAACACGCTCAAGGGGCGAGGTGTGCTGTAATACTTTTTACAAGTTGAAACCTAAGACAAACATTATCGTTAACACATTATGAGGCTCTATGATGATGGTGAGGAAAGAGATGGAATTGTTATGAAGTGTTGTGGTAATTACAGTGTTGTAATTTGTTAAACAATAATTTGATTATCTGACTTGAACTTGGCAGTTAGCAATTATGTGAGTGGTAAGAGGCTGCACTGTTACGCTGCCTTCTAACACATGAAACAGATAACCTTGGTTTTAATCGTAATGCAACGAATGAGCGCAACAGAATTCTCATTTGTTATGAGATCAGTGAACATAGTGTAGAGGTCGAGTCATGAACGTCAACAAATGAGGAACGTGATGTACTGCATTGGTACTTATTTCCTCGTACTTAAAGTAATAATAACTAAACCACATGCTGTTACGGCCAAAATTAACTCGATGGAATATTAAATTATTTATTCCATATAAAAACTCTAAGCAAATTTGACACAGACTGGTTAACTTACCTCAATCGAAAAAATCTTGCTTAATCATTTAATGCTAAAAAATCAGGTTAGCTTTAATTAACTTGAATGGAAAAAATAAATTAACTTAACTAGTTAAATGTGAAACTTAATCGCCCCATGCCTGGTTTAGGTTAGGTTTAGCTTTAAGGCATCACTTTTGGGTTAGGCCAGGTTAGCTTTAAGGCATCACTTGGGTTAGGCCAGGTTAGCGTTAGGGCATCACTTGGCGGCGATACACGAGTTATTCTTCGTCAAAAGTTGTTGTGGTGGGCAACACTGTATGGGGAGGTGAACCCGGAGCTGAAGGTTAATTAAAGTTGGAGTCTGACTTTTGGCTCTAAATTAAATTGGAAAGTCATGAATAGTTATTAGTTGGTTGAGGGACCTGTGAATAGTGAGGATACGGGGGAGAGAAGAAGAGATACGAAGCAGGAGTGGGGATAGGGTGGTGAGGAGAGGAGGAATGGGAGAGAGAGAAGGATGACTTAATGATATTGAAGCTTATAGGGGAGACGAGGGTGGTGGGGTGCGTGTGGACATTTCCCCGGGTGACGAGTGCCGCCAGTCACCTCCCAGGGGCGTGGTTACTGGGGACGGTGAACAGTTTGGGGATGAATGTGAGACGACCTTTGGATTGTGACCCCTCGGTGGCCTGGGTGTGACCCCTCGGTGGCCGCAGGTGTGACCCCTCGGTGGCTGCAGGTGAGACCCCTCGGTGGCCGGGTGAGACCCTCGGTGGCCGCAGGTGAGACCCCTCGGTGGCCGCAGGTGTGACCCTCGGTGGCCGCAGGTGTGACCCTCGGTGGCGCAGGTGTGACCCTCGGTGGCCGCAGGGGAGACCCCTCGGTGGCCGCAGGTGAGACCCCTCGGTGGCCACAGGTGTAACACAGTGGACTTGTAATTTGTAGTGAGGGGATAATGTTAATGGTTAGGTTAGGTTCACGGACAGGTGAGGCTGTGTCTCGGGTGGGGTGAGAGCACAAGTAGGGCGAGGGGAGTGGAGGGCGAGGGAGTGGAGAGGAGCGAGGGAGAGGGTGGAGAGGGCGGAGGAGTGGAGAGGGCGAGGGGAAGGAGTGGCGGGGAGAGGTGGAGGGCGAGGGGAGAGTGGAGGGCGAGAAAGGGGAGAGGAGTGGAAGGGCGAGGGGAGAAGAAGGGAGGGCAGGGAGAAAGTGGAGAGGACGAGGGAGAAGGGAGGGCGAGGGAGAAGAAGGGAGGGCGAGGGAGAAGAAGGGAGGGCGAGGGTAGAGAGTGGAGGGCGATGGGAGAAGAAGGGAGGGCGAGGAGGGAGGGCGAGGAGAAGGAAGGGAGATAATGCAACATGTGAGAGCTGTAGTATAGGAACAAAACATCTCCTGGAGCCATCACCGTCTGGAGTGGTCTGGAAGCTGTCAATAGGACCGTCTGGAGTGAGGGTCTGGAAGCTGTCAATAGGACCGTCTGGAGTGAGGGTCTGAAGCTGTCAATGGACCGTCTGGAGTTAGGGTCTGGAAGCTCTGAACAGGACCGTCTGGAGTGGTCTGGTAGCTGTCAATAGGACCGTCTGGAGTGAGGGTCTGGAAGCTGTCAACAGGACCGTCTGGAGTTAGGGTCTGGAAGCTCTGAACAGGACCGTCTGGTGATGGTCTGGTAGCTGTCAATAGGACCGTCTGGAGTGAGGTCTGGAAGCTGTCAGGACCGTCTGGGTGAGGTCTGGAAGCTGTCAACAGTACCGTCTGGAGTGAGGGTCTGGAAGCTGTCAACAGGACCGTCTGGAGTGAGGGTCTGGAAGCTGTCAACAGGACCGTCTGGAGTGAGGGTCTGGAAGCTGTCAACAGGACCGTCTGGAGTGAGGGTCTGGAAGCTGTCAACAGGACCGTCTGGAGTGATCTCATTGAGGAGTATGGACGCCCTTTGGTCCTCCTGACAGTCTTGGTTATATTATTCGTTGATGGTGAAGAGAAAACGTACGTGTGTGTGTGTGTGTGTGCTCGTGCTTATGTATGTATGTGTGTGTGTGAATTTAGTGTATTTTGTGTGTGTATGTATGTATACAGAAATAATACGCCATTGAAAACGTGACTGGATGAGACGTGTTTATTGAGGTGGACCAATAAATAATGGGGCACGACTCCCTCACAGTAAAGAACCATTGTTATTAACCCAGATGGTCGAGTTGTGTGTGTTCTGATGGAGGGAGAATCGACCTTACTGGCACTAGTGGTCTTGCTTGTTTCCTCCCAGACAAATGCCCCCTGGTAATTACAACAGACCAGAACACACAGCCGGTTTGAGGCGACCGGCGGCTGAGGGTGGGCGTGATAGTGACGGGGTGAGGGTGGGCGTGATAGTGTGACGTGAGGGTGGGCGTGATAGTGACGGGGGTGAGGGTGGGCGTGATAGTGATGGGGTGAGGGTGGGCGTGATGGTGACTGGGTGAGGGTGGGCGTGGTGACGGGGTGAGGGTGGGCGTGATGGTGACGGTGAGGGTGGGCGTGATAGTGACGGGGTGAGGGTGGGCGTGATGGTGACTGGGTGAGGGTGGGCGTGATAGTGACGGGGTGAGGGTGGGCGTGGTGACTGGGTGAGGGTGGGCGTGATGGTGACTGGGTGAGGGTGGGCGTGATAGTGACGGGGTGAGGGTGGGCGTGATGGTGACGGGGTGAGGGTGGGCGTGATGGTGACTGGGTGGTGGGCGTGATGGTGATGGGGGTGAGGGTGGGCGTGATAGTGACGGGGTGAGGGTGGGCGTGATGGTGACGGGGTGAGGTGGGCGTGATAGTGACGGGGTGAGGTGGGCGTGATAGTGATGGGGGTGAGGGTGGGCGTGATAGTGACGGGGTGAGGGTGGGCGTGATAGTGACGGGGTGGGCGTGATGGTGACGGGGTGAGGGTGGGCGTGATAGTGACGGGGGTGAGGGTGGGCGTGACAGTGACGGGGATGGGCGTGATAGTGACGGGGTTGGGCGTGATGGTGACGGGGTGAGCGTGGGCGTGTGATGATAGTGACGGGGCGGGCGTGGGCGTGATGAGTGACGGGGTGGGCGTGATAGTGATGGGATCTTCATTAATTATATTTTAATTTATTATTTTGTTTTATCATTTAAGTTGGTCTGTATTTGACATTGTGGCCTGTGTTAGTAGGAGGTAACCTGCCTTGTTGGGTAGTCTGAGCTTCATGGCTGTATGTGGGCCTGATCTGAGCTTCATGGCTGTATGTGGGCCACAGTCTGAGCTTCATGGCTGTATGTGGGCCAGATCTGAGCTTCATGGCTGTATGTGGGCCACAGTCTGAGGCTTCATGGCTGTATGTGGGCCACAGTCTGAGCTTCATGGCTGTATGTGGGCCTGATCTGAGGCTTCATGGCGTATGTGGGCCACAGTCTGAGCTTCATGGCTGTATGTGGGCCTGATCAGGCTTCATGGCTGTATGTGGGCCACAGTCTGGCTTCATGGCTGTATGTGGGCCACAGTCTGGGCTTCATGGCTGTATGTGGGCCTGATCTGGGCTTCATGGCTGTATGTGGGCCACAGTCTGAGCTTCCATGGCTGTATGTGGGCCACAGTCTGAGCTTCATGGCTGTGTGGGCCACAGTCTGGGCTTCATGGCTTGTGTGGGCCACAGTCTGAGCTTCATGGCTGTATGTGGGCCACAGTCTGAGCTTCATGGCTGTATGTGGGCCCACAGTCTGAAGCATGGCTGTATGTGGGCCACAGTCTGAGCTTCATGGCTGTATGTGGGCCAGATCTCAGGCTCATGGCTGTATGTGGGCCTGATCCTGAGCTTCATGGCTGTATGTGGGCCAGTCTGAGCTTCATGGCTGTATGTGGGCCACAGTCTGAGCCCATGGCTGTATGTGGGCCTGATCTGAGGCTTCATGGCTTATGTGGGCCACAGTCTGGCTTCATGGCTGTATGTGGGCCAGATCTGGCTTCATTGGCTGTATGTGGGCCACAGTCTGAGCTTCTTGGCTGTATGTGGGCCACAGTCTGGCTTCATGGCTGTATGTGGGCCACAGTCTCAACCATGGCTGTATGTGGGCCACAGTCTGAGCTTCATGGCTGTATGTGGGCCACAGTCTGAGCTTTGGCTGTATGTGGGCCACAGTCTGAGCTTCATGGCTGTATGTGGGCCACATCACAGGCTTCATGGCTGTATGTGGGCCACAGTCTGAGCTTCATGGCTGTATGTGGGCCACAGTCTGAGCTTCATGGCTGTATGTGGGCCACAGTCTGAGCTTCATGGCTGTATGTGGGCCTTTGGTCTGAGGCTTCATGGCTGTATGTGGGCCACAGTCTGAGCTTCATGGCTGTATGTGGGCCACGGTCTGAGCTTCATGGCTGTGTGGGCCACGGTGTGAGGCTTCATGGCTGTATGTGGGCCACGGTGTGAGCTTCATGGCTGTATGTGGGCCACAGTCTGAGCTTCATGGCTGTATGGGCCAGATCTGAGCTTCATGGCTGTATGTGGGCCACAGTCTGTGGGACACCCTCATTACCTGCCCACAACTCCTCGCTCTGGTCTCACACACCTGTGGGACACCCTCATAACCTGCCCACAACTCAGCTCTGGTCTCACACCTGTGGGACACCCTCATACCTGCCCACAACTCCTCAGCTCTGGTCTCACACCTGTGGGACACCCTCACCTGCCCACAACTCCCCAGCTCTGGTCTCACACACCTGTGGGACACCCTCTCTGCCCACAACTCCTCAGCTCTGGTCTCACACACCTGTGGGCACCCTCATTACCTGCCCACAACTCCTCAGCTCTGGTCTCACACACCTGTGGGACACCCTCATACCTGCCCACAACTCCTCAGCTGTGGTCTCACACACCTGTGGGACACCCTCATTACCTGCCCACAACTCCTCAGCTGTGGTCTCACACCACTGGGACACCTCATTACCTGCCCACAACTCCTCATCTGTCACACACCTGTGGGACACCCTCTACCTGCCCACAACTCCTCAGCTCTGGTCTCCACACCTGTGGGACACCCTCATTCCTGCCCACAACTCCTGCTCTGGTCTCACACACCTGTGGGACATCCTCATGCCTGCCCACAACTCCTCAGCTCTGGTCTCACGCACCTGTGGGACACCCTCATTACCTGCCCACAACTCCTCAGCTGTGGTCTCACGCACCTGTGGGACACCCTCATTACCTGCCCACAACTCCTCAGCTGTGGTCTCACACACCTGTGGGACACCCTCATTACCTGCCCACTCCTCAGCTGTGGTCTACACACCTGTGGGACACCCTCATTACTGCCCACAACTCCTCAGCTCTGGTCTCACACACCTGTGGGACACCTCATTACCTGCCCACAACTCCTCAGCTCTGGTCTCACACACCTGTGGGAACACCCTCATCTGCCCCACAACTCCCTCAGCTCTGGTCTCACACACCTGTGGGACACCTCATTACCTGCCCACAACTCCTCAGCTCTGGTCTCACACACCTGTGGGACACCCTCATCTGCCCACAACTCTAGCTCTGGTCTCACCTGTGGGACACCCTCATACCTGCCCACACCTCAGCTCTGGTCTCACACCTGGGGACACCCTCATACCTGCCCACAACTCCTCAGCTCTGGTCTCACACACCTGTGGGACACCCTCATTACCTGCCCACACTCCTCAGCTGTGGTCTCACACACCTGTGGGACACCCTCATTCCTGCCCACAACTCCCTCAGCTGTGGTCTCACACACCTGTGGGACACCTCATTCCTGCCCACAACTCCTCAGCTCTGGTCTCACACACCTGTGGGACACCCTCATCTGCCCACAACTCTCAGCTCTGGTCTCACACACCTGTGGGACACCCTCGTACACAACTCCTCAGCTCTGGTCTCACACACCTGTGGGACACCCTATTCTGCCCACAACTCCTCAGCTCTGGTCTCCACACACCTGTGGGGACACTCTCATTACCTGCCCCAACTCCAGCTCTGGTCTCACACACCTGTGGGACACCCTCATTACCTGCCCACAACTCCTCAGCTCTGGTCTCACGCACCTGTGGGACACCCTCATTACCTGCCCACAACTCCTCAGCTCTGGTCTACACACCTGTGGACACCCTCATTCCTGCCCACAACTCCTCAGCTGTGGTCTCACACACCTGTGGGACACCCTCATACCTGCCCACAAACTCCTCAGCTCTGGTCTCCACACCTGTGGGACACCCTCATTCACCCGCACAACTCCTCAGTCTGGTCTCACACACCTGTGGGACACCCTCATCCTGCCCACAACTCCTCAGCTGTGGTCTCACACCTGTGGGACACCCTCATACCTGCCCACAACTCATCAATTACAGTTTCCTCCAAAATTTCTCTTATATTTTTCATGTAGTGTGACGGTGGTGAAGTGTGGGCGTCACTCATGAGGGAGGCCATGTTGAGTGACGGTGGTGAAGTGTGGGCGTCACTCATGAGGGAGTCCATGTAGAGTGACGGTGGTGAAGTGTGGGCGTCACTCATGAGGGAGTCCATGTAGAGTGACGGTGGTGAAGTGTGGGCGTCACTCATGAGGGAGGTCACGGTAGAGTGACGGTGGTGAGGTGTGGGCGTCACTCATGAGGGAGGTCACGGTAGAGTGACGGTGGTGAGGTGGTTGGGACTGGGTTGTTGTTATAGCGATTAGTAAGTGTTGGTATGAGCAGCTTGTGGTTGTGGTGTCGAACAGCGCGGGTGTGTGTAGTAATAATAATAATAATAATAATAATAATAATAATAAACGGTTTATTAATAGAGTTGCAGCCGGTGGCTCACAATATACTGACTTACATGTGATTTAGACATAATGATATAATATGCATTGAATACATTTACAGGGCTGTACAGTACATAAATCAGGAGTTGTTTATTATTTTAACAATAGATGGGATGGTGCTGTTCTTATATCTATCGGTGCAGGCTCTTATGGGCTGAATTTTGTTGTGGTGGCGGACTGCTCGAGGTGTGTGTGTGTGTGCGCGTGTGTGCGCGTGCGTGCGTGCGTGCGTGCGTGCGTGCGTGCAGGGGGGGGGGAGGGTAATGTTATGTTTCGGGATCCACCGTGTATAAGGGAGTCGTGTGTGTGTGCGGACAAAAACTCACCTTAGTGTTAGGTGAGTTTTTGTCCTCCCCGCCCTCGCTCGTCTGTGTGTCATCTTGTTATATTTAAACTAATAATAAAGGTCCAGGAAGAAGATTTATTTCCAAGAAGACTGACGTGTTTAGGCCTTAAGAGGTGAGTCGTGTCAGTGTTGTAGCTGCGTCAGGGAGGAACTCTTTCATTACCTGGAAAGTTGTTATTATTGACTTAACTAATCATCTACCAGAACAAATATTCTCTGATTGGTCAAGATTCACGACTACCAGAACAAATACTCTCTGATTGGTCAAGATTCACGACTACCAGAACAAATACTCTCTGATTGGTCAAGATTCACGACTACCAGAACAAATACTCTCTCTTTGGTCAAGATTCACGACTACCAGAACAAATACTCTCTGATTGGTCAAGATTCACGACTACCAGAACAAATACTCTCTGATTGGTCAAGATTCACGACTACCAGAACAAATATTCTCTGATTGGTCAAGATTCACGACTACCAGAACAAATATTCTCTGATTGGTCAAGATTTACGACTACCAGAACAAATACTCTCTGATTGGTCAAGATTTACGACTACCAGAACAAATACTCTCTGATTGGTCAAGATTCACGACTACCAGAACAAATACTCTCTGATTGGTCAAGATTTACGACTACCAGAACAAATACTCTCTGATTGGTCAAGATTTACGACTACCAGAACAAATACTCTCTGATTGGTCAAGATTCACGACTACCAGAACAAATACTCTCTGATTGGTCAAGATTCACGACTACCAGAACAAATACTCTCTGATTGGTCAAGATTCACGACTACCAGAACAAATACTCTCTGATTGGTCAAGATTCACGAAGGTAAATAATAAATATGAGTACAAAAATATATCATAAAAAAAAAATTGAATTTAACTCGATAAACATTTACTGAGATTGAACACACAGTAAAGGTAGAGGCTATATGACCACCACTGTGAGCACTATAGTAAAGCCTTGTGTTCCAGCTCGTGACACACATCTTGGTGAACCCTTACATCGTCTCTAATACACACTGAGCACCCTGGTTGACCCAAGTATTATTACCGATGTTTTGTCATTATTCAGGTCAGCTCAGGTCAACTAGTTTCAACTTGTATGAATTCCAACAATGTCTTGAGATGGTTTGTGTCTTACTGTACGTGTGGGGAGATCTTTGGGGAGACGGGTGGGGAGATCTTTGGGGAGACGGGTAGGGAGATCTTTGGGGAGACGGGTGGGGAGATCTTTGGGGAGACTTGGGGATTTAGTCGAGTAGGAAGAAAGTAGAGAAGAGAGGGGAAAGTGGATGGCTTGGGGAGAAAGGGTTAAAGTGGATGGCCTGGGGAGAAAGGGTTAAAGTGGATGGCCTGGGGAGAAAGGGTTAAAGTGGATGGCCTGGGGAGAAAGGGTTAAAGTGGATGGCCTGGGGAGAAAGGGTTAAAGTGGATGGCCTGGGGAGAAAGGGTTAAAGTGGATGGCCTGGGAAGAAAGGGTTAAAGGATGGATGTGGATGGCCTGGGGGATGAAAGGGTTAAAGTGGATGGCCTGGGGAGAAAGGGTTAAAGTGGATGGCCTGGGGAGAAAGGGTTAAAGTGGATGACCTGGGGAGAAAGGGTTAAAGTGGATGACCTGGGGAGAAAGGGTTAAAGTGGATGACCTGGGGAGAAAGGGTTAAAGTGGATGGCCTGGGGAAAATTAATAGGTCAGCCAACTGCCAGCAAGATTTCAAAAGTCCTGCACTGGAAAATTAGTTGGTCCTCGGAGTGGGCGGGGGTGGGTGATCCTTAGAGTAGGTAGGGGGGGTGGGTGGGTGGGCTGGGGGGAATGCCGCCCACCCCTGAACTAGGAGCGGTTACTTCTCGGAACTGGATCGACGTAATTTTGGATTAATTTTCGGAAACTCGACCACCATCTGTGTGTGTGTTTGTGTGTGGGTGTACATAGTGTTATCATTATTAAAACCGCTTACCATCCTGGGCTACAGTGGAATTTAAATACAGTAATACGGTTGAACAAGAGGACACAGCTGTCAGGATTATGTCTAGTTGGCAATTATGTTTATTGCAATGGTAATTACTTATTTATTTACATAATAATTCCGATAAAACGGTTTTGATGGTACAATAAAGCAGGTATTGTAACTATAGTAAGTGTTACAAGAAGTATTAATACTTCGACAATAGATATTTTTTTAGAGATGATTTAAAGGAAGGGAGCGTAGTCTTTGCTCGGATGTGCGGGGGTAAGTTGTTCCACACCTTCACACCATGATATTTTATGGAGGTCTGGGACTGAGAGGAGTGCATGGGGGGTGGTCTTAGTAGCTCTGGGTGCCTTAAGTTGTATCTCTGATTATTCCGGAACTGGAAATAATTATTGTCAAGCAAGTGATTGATAGATTTGTAAACAAAGAGGGCACAGCAGTAAGTGTTAATATCCTCGAATTTTAAAAATTTCAATATAGCAAATTTTTCGTTTGTGTGATCTGTTTTTTTCAAGTAGGTCATTGTCCGTACAACTCTCTTTTGTGCAGTAACCAGAGATTGTGTTTTATAAGAGCCAGAGGGCCCCCATAGTGTGTGACAGTGTATCAGGTGTTGGTAAACAAGATCATGATACATTTCTTTCATTGCTGTGAGAGTGAGTGACTGTCGAGTGTGATGCATGATACTGCACTGTTTATTGATTTTACTGTGAATGGCTTGTATGTGGTTTCTCCAATTAAGTTTCTCATCAACAATAACTCCGAGGAATTTAGTATTTTGTTCGCGTTAGTATTTTGTTCGCCGTTGAGGACTATATTACCAAGGTACAGGAGGTTCAAGTCTGGAGGTAAGTTTTTCTAATGTGAAGGATCATGTAGTGGGTTTTCTCAAGGTTTAAGGTCAGTTTATTACGTATTACCCAGGTCCCAACTTTAGTTAATTCAGTGTTCATAGTTCTCATCAAGGAATGGAGGTCTGAGTTGCTGGCATAGAGATTACTATCGTCTGCAAATAAGATTTATTTTATGAGTGAGCTGGCGTGGACTATATCGTTTATGTACAACAAAAACGGTAATGGACCGAGAATTGAACCTTGGGGGACTCCATACAAGATTGGCGAGGAGTCAGATTGGTGGTTATTATAACAGACATAATGCATCCTGTTGGACAGATATGAGGTAAACCAATTGTGGGACAGGCCCCTAACGCCGTAATGTTCAAGCTTTGAAAGGAGGATGGTATGGTCGACAGTATCGAAGGCTTTAGAGAGGTCCAAGAATATACCGACTGTGAACTGACTGTCATCAAAGGAATTTAAGATGTCATTAGTAAAGGATAGCAGAGCACTCTCAGTCGACCTTCTAGCTCTAAATCCAAACTAGGAGTCTGCAAAGATGTTATTGGCATTGCAGAAGGAATGTAGTCAATTACATGCTAGCTTCTCCAGTATCATACTCAAGGCTGGGAGGACTGATATGGGGCGGTAATTCTTGAAGAGACCTTTGTCCCCAGATTTTTTATATGCCGGGTGGATTTTAGCAATTTTCAGTTTATCAGGAAAGACACCACTAGTGAAGGAGGAGTTACAAATGTGGAGGAGAACAGGTAGTAATAAGTGGGCCACTTTCTTAATGATGCTCATTGGTATATTGTCTTCGCCTGCTGCTGCATCTTTGGACATTTTTATGATGGCCAGTAATTCATCTGCTGTGACAGGTGATAAGAACAGTTCATTTTGCTGTCTGTTTTGCAGGTAGGCTCTAAATTCCTCATGGTGATCAGGGTTGCTCTCCACAAGATTTTTGCCAACATTAATAAAATATTCATTGAAGTGGTTGGCAATGAGGGAGGGTTCCATTATAACTGAATCGTTTATCATAAAAGCTGAGTGGGGGGCCGAAGGCTGAGTGTTCCTGTTTTGAATAGAATTTATGACATTCCAGGTTTTCTTACTGTCCCCTGATGCTGACTGGAGCTTATTTGTATAATAGTTACGTCTGGCATTTCTAACTGCTTGAGTTACTCTATTTCCGATACTTCGGTAAGCATCACCGAAAGTTATGGGTCTTTTTGCAATTTTCCTTTGGAGTTTGTGTTTTTCCTTTATCATTATCTTAATTTCGCTTGTGATATAGGGTTTGGAAATGGATACAGTTTTCACTGACTTAGTCTTGAGCGGGAAGCATTTATCAAAGCAAGCATTGAAGATGCAACAGAAGTTGCAGCTGTTCACGTTAGGGTTGTTGGAGGCATAGACAAGATCCCTGTTAGCATTCATTAGGTTGTTTTAAAAAAAGGAGCATGTTGTCGGTGCAGTTGTCTCTGTATTGAATTGAAACTCTACTA